ATTAGCACAATTTAAGTTTCAGTAAGAGATGACTAAGCAGTAGCCTATTTGAAGAGCATGTTATCATATCTTTAATAGCTTTTTCTTCAACACTTAATGAATGCCGCTCTGTTGTGGGAGGTTATCCCGAAACGGAAATCAGTTTTAACTTTCTCCTCCTAGGCTTTCAACATATACATGTAAGAAAGAGTTTTATCAAACGTGTGCCCGTTTCTCGGTCCCCGAAGCTTTCTTCTCATTAGGGACGGAAAAGGCGTCCTCTTTTTTTTTCCTGTAACAGACACAAGGGCGATAATATCTTTACCCTAATCGCAATGAGTTTTACTGACGCCTACAGCTCATTTCCTGCTCTAGTTTTCAATAATTAGGAATATCCTTGAAGCCAAAATCTCTACGTAACACATGAAGAGAATAATATTTTATACACAATGAATATAATATATACAGTCAAAAGTCGTTAATCCGGACTCCTCGGGACTTCGGCGATTCCGGATTATCGATTTTTCCGGATTATAGATCATCAGTTTAAATCTGGTAAGATGGCATGCAGAAATTACAAAATTAAAAATATGAAACCGTAATTTATGAAATAAAGAAAAATTATGATCTAAAGGGTATCAAAATTTACAAAAAGAAAAAGCTTAATATTTATTTGTTTACTTTATTAAACATTTCCTTCAATGTAAGTTGCTTCGTTTCATGTGATAATACTTTCTCTTTAATTCTATTAAACAGACATAATTTCTTGTTTAGTTACAAAGTTCCGCTGTTCAAGTCCTATAATTGCTGTGTTGAGAATACCGACTAATTTGTCAATCGAAATGTTTTCGTTTTCAATAACCTCTGGGTCACTATCGGAAGGGAATTATAATGAGGAGGAACTTGATTTAAATCATATCAAAGACTATAAACCAAATAAAATAAAAACATCTGCTCTGAAGATAAGGATAGTGCTGACAGATTAACTTCCAATCCGCTGCGTTAAATTGATAAACAGATTTCGGATTTCAAAACATACTTTCGCTTTGTAGATACAAATTACATATTAGTAAATATATATCGGAAATTCTATTCGACATAATCTTTCTAATCTATCATAATCTAATAATGACGTTTCTGCCCCCCCCTCTGCCACAGAGCAGCGTGAAATTGATAAACAGATTTCAGATTTCAAAACATACTTTCGCTTTGTAGTAAATATATATCGGAAATTCTATTTGACATAATCGAAAGTTCAAGCTTACTTTTATAAAATTGCTCTAACAGTCTGCAAAAAATAATAAGCCGGATCCAATTCGAAGATTAAGGAACAATGCAATCTGCAACATTAACTGAATTAGATAACTTTAGCTTAGCATATACTCCGTTACACATTAAACGCGAATGCGCACAAACATATTCGCAGCCGTAAGGGTCTTACGCGCTCTCGTAAACGCCTGTGCGCATGCGTGAACGCGACGCATGTGCAGAAAGTTTGTAGCTTTGAGGTCCGGATTATAGATCATTCCGGATTATGGGTGTCCGAATTAACGACTTTTGACTGTATTGATATAATACTTAATTTTTACAGTGCAGGAGTAGTTCCAGATGCCAAATCTCTGCAATTATCTGTTTTCGATTGAAAACATCAGATAATTGCATATATTTGGTATCGCGGTCTGCTTCTGCACTGTGCACAATAAACATTATATATATTATCATTTCATGGAATCATGACATGACATAAATAGGCTAAAGTACATAATGCACACTTGAAGAATGGTATCTCGTTAACAGAAAAATACCGAAAAAGTACATAACTAAGTCTTGAATATTTATAAAAGTTTTGAAATTAAGAAGTATAATTCACAAAGTTTATGTGATTTATACAAAAACTACACTGACATCAATAAAAAGTAATTTGATGATTCTATGGGAAAGCTTAAGTTATAAAACATTAACCGAGGTCTGGGGACAATCTGAATTTGCAGTATGAGAAATTGTGAGGAATATTATGTTAGGTATATTCATTTTATCTTTCTAAGTTTTCAATCTTAACATATGCTATCTTAAAATTCTCAGAAATAAAATCCACCTACTTATCTCTTTTGAAAGAAAAAGAATAAAAATTACTTATGTCATGAGATTAAATAATTTTTACAAAATAATTCTGCACCAAACTTCAAATACTGCTTATATTCTTTTATTAGTACTTCATACGAGAAACATGAGACATTAGTCCTAAAAGAAGTAACTTATTTAACTTGTGACTGTAGCTTTTAATACATTCTTTGTAAGAAAAGTTCCAGGATAATTTGTTTTATTTGTTTGCAGTATCCAAAAGGAGCAAATTTTGTTTTTATGTTACCTGGTATGTATTCTTACTGGACATTACCTTGGCCATGTTTCCACTCAAACATACTAGGTGGCAGGGCTGTGCTTAGAAACACAACTGTTCGGATTGTTGTCTCATTTGTTAAGGCAACACAATAGATGCTGATTGTGAGCAGAGTGAACACCGACTTCTGCGTTAAGCTCGGGGAAAACTTCTAGTGAAACAAAGAGCATGATTAAGCAAGCATATGCAGGTGAGGCACTTTCAAGAAGTCATGTTTTCGAGTAAGACAAAAGGTTTCATGAAGGCAGAGATTCAGTGCGTGACAATCCCAGAGCTGGTCACCCATCTATAGTACCATACTGATGCAAACGTGGAGTGTGTAAGGCAGCTATTGCAGGAAGACCATCTTGTAACTGTTTGTATGATATCAGAAGAACTGAATTTGAATCATGATGAATTTCCATTTTCCTAAATCTTTGCATAAAATTTTCATAAGAAGATTTAGGAAAATGGAAACTTAGTGCAAGAATTGTCCCTTACTGACAGATGAACAAAAAGAGGAAAGATGAAGAATTTCTGCTAAACTATTGGATAGAGCCAGATGTCATCCTACATTTTGTCAAAGTTTATTGCAATTTTTTCTTGTTTCTGTGAGTGTAAAGGTGACTGAAAGGAAAGCTTCATCAAGATTAATGCAGGCATCCAACGAGCTGTGATAAATGAGCTTGCAAGCATCACAGTTGAAGATTTCCCTGTTTGCTTCCAAGACCTTCAGAAATGTTGGCAGTTAGTATAGATAGCCAAGGGGACTACTTTGATAGCAGCTAGGCTCATTAGTTGGAAAATGCAATTTTCTATTTTTTTACGACCTTTGTCCTGTAACTTTTCTGACAAAGGATGTATATGCAATATGAAGATTGCTTTTTTGTCTAATTTTAAATTTTACACTGGCACTTTTCTGTTCTAACGCAATAAAAATCCACATGCTGCTGAAGAGCAAAACTCTTTTTTAAACCGTTAAATATAATGTTATTCCAAGAAAACAATAATGGAGTATCGGTTTATTCGAAGTGTATGCAAGGAATATAAATACCATGAAGCACTGAAAAATGAATAAATGCCTATTTAATAAAATACAATGAAATTGGTTGAAAAAGTAGATCTTCATTAAATACTTTTAATATGCGGGCTCATTATGCATGGATGTGTTCACAAAGTGGAGAAATACTCTACCATCTTGATTACTAAATTTCTAAATTAAATAATATGTGTCTTACACCATGCTTAATTTTTTTAATTTAATTCAATTGATAATGTAGGTTAATGATGGAGGAACACAGGCTTCATGCAACCTCCAACCAACTAAATTAATAAAATTTACCAGCATTTAATACACGTTTCTGAATGAGTGTATTGTTTCCATATTTTTAACCACCTTAGAACTATTTTTAGGGCTTAAATATCAGTAACAACACAGTAAATTAACTTTAGTCAACTGGACTTCTTCACTTAAGTGCCTACAATGTTTTCATTAATGAGCAATATATTCAGTTTCAAGATTTAAAGCATAAATACTTTTTTCTGAAAAGTATACTTCAAGCTGCATTCTTATTTTCCTTGTATTAGCTTATTTTTGGTCTAGTGGTGTTTTAATCACAACAAAGATCATATGAAATCAGTGAACCTTAAATGAAAGTCTAAAAAATCTTGAAAAAAAATTTTATTCATAATTTTTTGGACATATGGTTAAACATTTTATGCATATATTGTATAACAAACTGTGTTAAGAAACAAACTAAATTGGCCTTTAAAAGATATAGAAGTTGGCTGCCACTGATGCAGACTCAAAGACAGCTAAATTCTTTAGTAGTCATGACCATTAACTACTTTTTCAACATACTCACATTAACCATTTATGGTTTTCCCTCTCCCTTCATTTCTTTTTTCGTGTGAACTTATTATTTTCTGTAAAATTGCTAATCATTGAATTGTATGCAGATGTAAAAATATAGTTTTGGAAACTTTAGAAGCATTTACCATATTTACTTAAAATAACCCACCTCCTTTTTTTCACTAAAGTTTTATAAAAAAATTTTGTAGGGTATTATAAATGGATATTTTGGTAAGTGAAACTGCAGAATGAGAGAAAAGAGTTTAATTATCAGGTTACACAGTATAATTACACTGTTCAAATATTACATAAATCACTCTAAAATTTAAATATTACATAAATCAAATTATTATATATAAGTGTCTAACAATTGTCAATTATAAAGGCTGTATTCAGCTGAGAGATTTTAATTTAGGCTTGCATCCACTATACCAATGTGCCAACAATGTTAAACAAACTTTGGCCCATAGTTAACAATATCATTATTTTAAAGAAACTCTGAAAGAAGTAATAATAAAGCTTGCATTATCTTTCTTCAAATTACTGAAAACTAAAATAACTATCCATGTATATTTTCATTTCTTGAAACATATCTTAAAAATACAAAGATGTGTCTTACATTCAAAGGGAATCATTTTTGTAATAAAATACATATTTCTTCTAACATTTATGATACCGAGAGTTTATTTATAAGGATACAAAGTCCACTGTTTCGTATATTTTAAACACCAATTAATTCATTAAATGAGTTTTGTACCAACAGATTATTCCACACAGTACTCAGCATCATACCTTGAAGCTGTGTCGCTTTTGGAAAAGTAATGATCTTTCACTATCATCTTTTTCTGACGCAGGGTAACGAGAGCAGGAATGTGTTGGTGTCCCTTTGTCAGACGAAGCTCTTGCACGCTGGAAATAATAAAATACAGTTTTTTGCTTCATACAGCCATATCAAATATTGGTTCTTGATTAATTTTGCTTCAAGTTCGGCAAGCAGACATGGAAAATAAGTTTTTACTCTCAAATATTTCAAGGCTTTTAAATTATAAAAAAAAAATAATAATAATTTATATATAATTTAACAACATCAGTTATGATGTATTTCTTATTACCTCTCTGTTTTTAAAAATGCTACCCCAAAAAGCAAAACTACGATTATTAGCACAATGGGATTCTCCCTTTGTTTCCTATTGTTTCTAAATAATAGTCAAGACATTTTTACTATTAAAGAATAGTATTTGGGCAAATGTTGCTTTTTTAACTTGAAATTTCTAAAAAAGATGACTTGCAAAATTCACATATATTAATAAGATTTTATGAATAACAACATAAAAGGCCACATATCATTTTTCACAATCAACTAAATATTTGAGCCTGGTATTTTAACCAGTCTATAATTAGATTACTATTATGATGAAAAAAATAGGGTTATTACTTAATTAAAACTTAATATATTAAGGCAGTTTCAGCACAAACCAGCTGTTTTATTACTAACCCATTAAAAGCTTTCAACTTCTAACTTAGTTTTGTACAGTTTTTAGATCTGGTATCATTTTAAAGCATGCACATATATTTACAGAAGATAATAATACATTCGATAATATATTTTTAGGAAAAAATATATATATACTCTGAGATATGAATAAGCTTTGGCATTCTGTAGCAAAGAAACTAACTTTAAGATTGGGAAATGCATAACTTAAAAATATTTGTCCAGATATATGTGTAGTATATATGAAAAAATTCACGTTTTGTCATTTTTAAAGGGGAAAAAAAAATTAAGTTCTGTAAAAATTGTGAAATCTAACTTTTTGCACTTTCCTCTGGTCCCTATACTTATATAAAGGAAAATTTTTTTATAAGAAATAAAACACAAATGTTTTTGACTGATGTATGAAAAAAATCAGCTGAGATACTTGATATTAAAAATTTGGAATCATATTCAGGCATCATACACAAACAGAAGAGTTGTTTGCATTTATATATAAATAACATTTAGAAAAGTTTTTGATATTAAGATATCATGTGTGACAATCTTTTCTATACAGATTATTACAAAAATATTGATGAATATAACTTTTTTTTTTCCTTTCGAAATGGAGACCTTATTCACAAATGTTTTTATAGAACATGTGTGCTAGAAAACACTAGCAGGCTCGTATATTGACTCAACTTGTAATATTATTTGCATAAATCAAAAATGAAATACATTTATATTTTAATGAATGTTTTACATTTCCCAGATTATAATTCTAAGGTATAAAACTTCATAAAAATATTAATGACATAATTTTAGATTTTGTAAACTTATTAATTACATGTCAAAATTCTTTCATCATATCAAAATATAACAAAATTATAAATAAAGTAATAAATCACAGAAAATTAAAAGCACTTAAAGGTTAAAAAAAAACTTTATTTATTCTAATTTATTTATTGACTGACCCCTCAATCCAAATTCAAAATGATGTTAAATACCATAAATTCTGAAATTAAATTTTTATCATACAGAAGGTCAAACTTTTTGTGTTTTATTTTTGATGGCAAGTACAAGATTTTCCTAAATATAAATATAATGAATGGACAAGCAAAATGTTAAATGAAAGGACAAGCAAAACGTTAAATAATCTGTGTCATTTAAAACATTTTTGTAACTTGAAGTATGCGCCAGAAGGCCAAAACATCCATCTGACTAACAGTTGCAAAAATAAAGGTCAAGTAAGGACTTTCATAGACACATGTTCATTATACATTATAAGTAAACAATGTTTGGACACTGCGCCCCATTAACAGTAAGATACCAATTCTTTCCTTCAAATTTTCTAAAAATGGTTTTCTCCTTTTTTCAGTTATTGTATAACAGTGTTGTTAATGAACCGCTCGCAATCGCCATTCATTCCCTTAGCACATGTGCATGCTATGCCAGCTTTTTGATGCATGCGATTAGTAGTAGGCAAGTAGGCAGCTACCACTCGCCATCTATGAAGAGATGGTCATTTACTACCATGTCTTCTCCAGGATTCGAAACCAGGTCCTTCAGTACAACAGTAGGCTTTCCTAACCACTATACCATCTGGGGAAGGCTTATTAAATATGTAGTTTACTTTATTTTTCTGGAACAATGTAATCAACATCAAAAGTGGATAAGTTAGCAAACGCCATTGACTCCCTTAGGGCATGTGCACAACATGTCAGACTTTTGCTGTGCACAATATACTTCCATGTCAGCCAGCCAGTAAGCGAGAAGCACAACGTACTGTAAATTCAAATATTGCTCTGTTTTTAGTTTTCTGCTCTGTTTCTATCTATTTATCATCAAAAATAAATATTTGTTCTGCTACCACATGATGTCATCATTATTCTACATTTGCTATGGGCTCACATGAAACTTAACTGGGCAGTAAAACCATTATTGTTAAATTTTTCTAAGAAGCCATGCTGAGTTGAGTGAAATCAAAAATGACATGGAGTTTCAATTGAAAAGTTAGAAAACAAGGACAATTTGGGTATATGGAAAGTACAAGTTGAAGACATACTGATTAAATATGATCATTGGGATTATGTAGCCAGGAAAATTCCAAAAACAGAAACTGGTAATGAAGGAATTATCAAACGGATATTGGCTCCAATGAGAATCAAGTCAATAAATTGGATCTTCATAATTGCAACTTTTATTGATGATAAATCTCAACAGGTTCATTTTATTTTCTAAAATCTAAGGATGAAGTGAAACTAGCTTTTATAAATTTTAAAGCATCTAATAAAAATACACTGAATTCCAAGATCAAAATTCTCTGAATGAATAATGGGCTTGAATATTTCTGAAAAACCTTTTATACCTTCCTTAATGAATAAAATAATGTGTGGGAATAACACACAAAAAGATGACTTCCCACACCTTTGCACAAAATGGCATTACTGAAAAGTTACACCAGACTTTAGTTTCATGATGCAATGTCTATTATTGCAATCCAATCTGCCTTATAAATTCTGGACTGAAGTAGTTAATATGGCTGTCTACATTCGAAATTGCTGCCCCAACATGAAGTTTAAGAGACAACATAAAAGATGATGTTTGGCCAAGTCCAGCTGTCATTCATTTCCAAGCCTTTAGTCAAAAAGTATTTCCACTGAATAAAAAGCTCGGAATACAAAAATTTAATATTAGACCTACAAATTGTATTTTTATTGGCAATTCTGATATACCAAAAGCATACAGATTTTGAGATTCTGATGTATGTAAAATAATTAAACAGATATATAACAATGAATTTGAAAACTGTTCTATTTATGACTCAGAATTCAACAATTTTTGCCTTTCAATCTAGAGGAGAAAATGACAAACATTGTGTGTTGAGATGGATCGTCACCTCTACACGGTATGAAATCAATGTTTGTCTCACAATATGAAGAGGGAAATGAAAATGGTTTAGACAGTGAATCAGAGCTTCCCATTCTGATGAAAACGCAGCTTGGTCATCCAGAGAAAACAAAACCAGGTTTGTCTGGAAAGGCTTAAAAAGAATATCACTATAAATTGTAAATAAAAATGAACAAATCCAAAATGTCATCAAGGTAAACACTAATCCCATAGTGCAAAAAACATTATATGCTGAGCATTCACAGTGCAAGTAGCATTAGTCTATGTGCTGAAAATTGGCATAATGCAATGCTATCAGAATATACTTTTCTCATTAACTTTTGCATTGGTAAAGACCAAAATTTGTTTCACTCAAACAACTGAAATGCCCGTATATCTGTATTTTTGTTGCAATGGATTTCCTTCCCTTATGCCAATTAGAATGCTACAGCACTAATAATTAACATACTTTAAATAAATCTGCACACACTTTCATTACTGTGTGCAGTTCCCCCTTGGGACAGGATTGCAACTTCGGTCATCAATAACTACACAAAGGAGAAGGAAGATGCTTTCATATAACAGAACTACTTTTAGTCATTTCAAAAGAATAATTGGCACGTCATTTAACAACTCCCAAAAGCAATGAGCGATGCATTCACATGATGGGAGAAAGCACCAGGTAGAAAATGATTCAGGCATTCGGTCTGAATGGCCTGGCATTTTGGGCGACTTCGATGGGAAAAAGTTAAAGGAAAGGCTTGGGAGCTAGATAAAAGATCTAAAAATGAGAAAATTATTGGTAGTAAATGGGTACTTAAATTAAAATACTACAATCAAGAAAGCACTATTGAAAATATAAGCCTGGCTATTTGTTAAAGGATGCGTTCAAATCTCTGGTCTTGATTTCATTGAAAACTTATCCCCTGTAGCCAGATTAAATTCCATGTGAACTGCTTTAGCCTATGCTCTAGAACACAGTCTAAAAGTTTACCAATTAGATTTTCTAATGGCCTATGTAAATAGAAATTTAAATGAAATCTATATGGCAACTTCTGAAGTTGTCCGCAATGAAATGAGTTCAGATAAAATGTGTCTTACAGTATGGAATATGCTTGTCATAATGTACAGGAACTGAGTGATACTCAAAATTTATTATTATTTATTTTATTACAATAATCATACAACAGCAAAAAATAAAAATGTATAGAATAGCATAAATACATAGACTTATAAAAATATATTTAAAGCAATCTTATATGGTCTTACGCAGTCAGAAAGGCAATGGTACAAAAAGTTTGATGAAAAACTAAAATATATGAAATTTACATCTCTTAATTCAAATAGTTTTATTTATTATTTTTTATACTAAAAGGATATTTCGCAGTGAAGAAATCATAACTGCATACGTAGACAATCTTATTTTTTTACTGATTCTAAGCAAAACTTATGAAATAATTAACTATAGTTAAGCTTCTGCTTTTAAAACGAAAGACTTAAGAAAAGTTCTGAAGAGGCTGGGTTACAGCATGGAAAACTCAACAACAATATATTGTGATAATCAGTGAGCTCAGAAAATGATGAACTCTTCTGGTTTTCACTCCTGTACAAAGCATACAGATACTCATCATCACAAGAGAAATGGCTGCTGATATGTTAACCAAACCTCTGACTTCTGTTAAATATCAAAACTGTTGCAAAATTGTTAGACTGAATATTATTTATCGTGAGCACTGGCTACTCCTAAGGCAGAAGTGGTGGCCATTTTATTATGGAGACACCTAATAGGCAGCCACTATTGCCTACTATGAAGGGACAGACAATTACAACCATGCTTTCTCCGACATTTGAAATCAGATCCATTGGGACAACAGTAGGCTTCCCTAACCACTATACCATCCGGTAGCTTATTAAATATGTAGTTTATTTTATTTTTCTGAAACAATGCAATCAGCATCAAAAGTGGATAAGTTAGCAAACGTCGTTGATTCCCTTAGGGCATGTGAACAACACATCAGGCATTTGCTGTGCACAATATACTTCGGTGTCAGTCAGGCGGTAAGCGAGAAGTACAATGTGCTGTATATTCAAATAACTTTATTTAGTCTTCTGCTTTGCTTTTATGTATTCATTGTTCTAATAAATGTTTTTTTTTTTTTTTTTTTTTTTTTTTGTAACTGCAAGATGTCACCATTATTCTACAAATACTCTACTCAAGTTCTTCCTCCCAATTATATAGTAAAAATTTTAATATTTACACAGCTCAACTTCAAGATGTTCACAGAGTAAGAAATCTGGAGATTTTAGCTGAAAAATAATCAAATAAAAATTCTAAATAATCAATTGGATATTTTCAAGTAATTTATACACAATTTTATAAATTTTCTTATAAACAAAAAAAGCTTTCAATTTCACCTCTTCTGAGCTGCTTCTTTTTTGTTTTAAGGCAAGGTTTTTCCATCGTTCCATTTCGGCCTCTTCTTTTTTCTTTTCTCGAATTTCTTTCTCCTTATCCCACCTCCTCTGTGCTCTCGCTCTTCTTTCTTCTTCCTCCTCCAATTTTTCATATTTCTGCAGAATCATCTCAAGAATTTTCATATCCTATAAGTTTTTAGCCATTTACTTTTATCTAGTTTAAGAAAATTAATTATTAACTCTAATTTAATTAAATACCACTTAAATTAGCTTAGCATTTAAATAACATCTAATTCTTATTTTTTAGCAAAATAGTGCTTTATTACAAATAATAAAAATATGCAATTTTTGTTACATATAGGAATCTACATATCATATCATATATGGAACCGAGTGATACTCAAATTATTTGAATTTATTAGTATTTATTTTATTACAATCATACAACAACAGAAAATAAAAATTTACAGAATAGCACAAATACATAGACTTAAAAATATAACTATCTATAAACTATTATAAATGTCTAATATTTAGATAAAAAAAAGTTTAAAAGTTATTTCAGTTACTTAAACTTTACAATTTTAAAGAGTCAATTATTATTTTAAGATGAAGGAAACACCAAGTCATAAAAATGAATGTATGTGAGAAATGTTTAAGTAAAACTGTTATGCATGGAAGTTTTAGTAAGAAATCCAATTGCAAAGGAAATCAGCTACATAGGATTTTCATGGTTTCTTCCAGTGATGTTATATGAGCCAGATTTCCATGTAAAATCTTAATGTTACTTCACAGTTAATCAATTGTGCAATTTGCATTAAGTAAACATATTTCTTTATTTGAGATCCTAACAGCAAGCAATGCATTTACTATTTAGACTACTAGTACTCATTTACTAATCTTGCTTTAACATAGTCTCAAAACGGGATGTTGCATTGAATCACTATAAAAGTCCAAATTGCTTTTCAAATTGTTGCCATTAAATATTATCACTCTGTATTATATTTAAAGAAATTAAATAATGAAGTTCTTGAATGAATGTATGCATGTTTTTTGCTTTGTAAAAAAAACAATGGTACCTAGGGCCATCAAATTTTGAATAATGTAGTCCTTTTACTGGAATACAGACACCCGGAAGCCCGAATTTTGAACTTGTTTTATTGTATATTTTATATTTTGTAAAATTTAATGAATTTTTTAATAAGAAACACGATGACTTTAAAGTGAGCAATGGCAACACTGTACAGGGAAAAACATTTTTATCTTCAGCATGCAAGACTGTCTATTGGAAATTCTAAAGATATGCTGGCTTTAAATATTTTATTTGTATTTCAAATTTTGTGAACCTTTAACGAATTTTTGTTTAACAAACTCAATGATTTCAAGATGAGCAATGGCAAAAGTGTATGGAAAGAGCAATTTTATCTCCAACACATGAGGCTGTCTATCAGAAATTCTAAAGGTAGGCTGTTTTTAAATATTTTAATCCCAAAGGAACATTAGACCAAATGCTCTCGAAATGTGTATGTAAATAAAAAAAGAGAAAACGCCTGCATAATATACAATCTGAAAGATTTCAGAATTTCTTTTAATTTATTTTATATTACTTGGAAGTAATCATGTGTATTACACAGATTGTGCCGGTATTAAGACATATTCTTGATTACTATGAAAATAACCTTAACTGGCAAATTTATTTACATCAATTGATATTAGGGTATAGATTTTCATAAATGAAACACTAAATGCTCCACAGTTATTTCAATCTGGATACAAGAGAAATAGACACAGTTCAAGTGCCTTTTTTCCATAGCAAAGTATATACAAACCTTAGATTCTGAAATATGCTCCCCTCCCCTCCCCTCCTTGAAAGAGGCACAAATATTAATGAAATTAAGCTTTATTAGGCCTTGAAATTTTTCCTTGTATGTCAGAAATAAGCTTTTCTTCTGAAATTTATAACAGACCATTTTAGTCTAACAGCTCTTTTAACTATGATTCCTTTTTATCAGTTGTTTTTATTTGAAAATAGTATTTTATAAGTTAGGAATATTTGCAGATATGGCCATTGTTGCCAGAAATTCTCAGTTAAAATAGCAACAGGTGAACTGAAAAGTTGCAAGAAGTAGCACATAATGTCGATGATTATGTAATTTTTGTGGCGTCATAGGTTCACAAGATCACTTGACCTCTGATATCATCATAAATTCACGAGCTTTGATGTCTCTACCATGTCAGTCTCCAAGGGTTCTGTACGTTATGAATTGTTATTCAATTCTTGGTCATAATATTACATATAAGATTTGGCAAAAGTCTTAAAACCTGATTGCTAATTTTCCATTATTCCAATAATTGTGTGTTCTTTTACTTCTCAGTTAATTTAGGTTATTCAGCTCATTTATTCCCATCTGTAGTTATGTGCTATCTCGAGTTAGTGGTTTATTTCTTTAGACATTTTTTCTTGCTTTAATTTTTAATGGTTTTAAGTTAATATTCCATTCTAATTATAGAATTTATTTCAGTACGTCAGATTCTGAATGCTAAGAAAAAGCTACCTTCTTTGATTGTATTTTACTTAGAAATCTGTTACTTTGTTTTTGAGTCTTCAGCTATATTACAGTCAGGAAAATGAAATTCTGATATATGGTGTGCAAACAAAGAGATTTGACAACAACAAAGAGCAAACTGACTTGAAAACCAAACACATAGAACAACAAAATCACCAATATTAAGGTGTACAACTTTGTTATTCATCATAGTCGTTCATTTTGGCAACAGTTTTCCTTGTCTTACTATCATTTTTATGTAATCAGCCCATCTATCAATAATACAATACAATCTGTGATCCATGAGTTCAAGGAAAACTTTTTAAATAGCCCTCTACAGGAAAGTAAGGCAGCTTAAATATAAATTTTACATTTAAAAAAAAAAATTTTTTTTAAGTTGTATAGGTAACAAAATCTGAAATTATTAGCACACAATACAGAAAATAACTAATGTATATACTTAGTAAATAAGTAAAACTGATCCTTAGAACATTATATTAAATTTTTTATACAGAATCTTAAAAGAATGATGACTTGGAATTTCGTATATACGAGATAGTTATTTCAATTCTGAGAACAGACATTCATGTCATAGCTTCTAAAATTTTGACTCTGTTTTGTTTACAAAGTATATATTAATTATTGTAAAAATTTTCCATTTCAAAATTATTTAAGAAGTATTTTAAATAAAAATATATTATAAAATAAATCCAGGGTAATGCACTCTAAACCCTTCAGGGGCCACTCTAAAGCACTTGTGAAGAGCATGGAAGGTAGTATTCCCAAAGTGCCAGAACTACCCAATGTCCAGAGGTATAATCAGATTCCCATTTCCAGGGGTTATTGGAGGCTCGGTCCTCTAGATTAGAGGTTGAGCAAATGGCTGACGACTTCAATTTGTAAAAAAAATCTTGTTGCGAATTCTAAAAAGAAAATTTTGGGCCGTCTTACAGGAAACGACTTGGAAAGGATTTAAGGGCTATGCGGTTTGGTACATGGAACATTCACACTTTATTTTGTAGTAACGGACAATTATTGATTGAGCAGTTTGCTTCACATATTCATCACATAGGAAATAAGATACTTTAGAAAGGAAATAATTGAAAGAAAAGCCATTTCAAGTTTCAAATAAAACGTATAATAGCTTTGATAAGAGGAAACATATTTTTTATACTGGATTTGTGGTGAACAATACAATTGATTCTGTGGCAAGATCTTCCCGAATTTATAAGATTCAAATAAGGAGCAAATTCCTTAACAATATAGCTCAATAAATGTACATTTTGCACACAAAAAAGCCCTATATTTTCCGCTCTACTAGGCCGATTGACGAAATTCAACTTGCATTTTTGAAGTCTCAAAACTGCGACTTATGATATATATTAGATTTATATACAGCGTTGTTCTAACTTAGGTATTTTGACATAAAATCGGTCTTTTTCTGAAATGGCATACTGACTTTTTTTCCCCTATTTTGGTTCTACAACTCATTATGCTAAAATGCTTATTTAGCGAAATTCTTAATTTATAGCAACCTATTTTCCTTTCTCTTTTTTCACTATGCACAAGTGGGGAAAAAAAGGTGCAACTTGCATTCTTTCAAATAATTTTAACGAAGTAAATAAAGAACATTTGGCATTATTATCGCTTATAACAAATTTCAAAACACGCCAATATATAAATTCACATATATCTTATGAAATTTTGAACAAAAAGCTCTAATTTTTTGCAGGTAGGCTTAGAAATACATAAGATGGTGGCAAAAATTTTATAGGTTACAAATAAAATAGGTTAAAATGAAAAAATAGGTTGTACAGTCCAGGTGGGTTAACTTCTATCTGTATACTGGAGTAGCAGGAAACTACACAGGAGAAGTACACGTACCCTTTATTAACTCTTTAAAATTTACAATGTGTCAACTCGACGCTAACAAATTTCGCCTCTACTTGGGAGGTAACTGAAAGCCAGATAATTGAAACTAGAAGTTGAAATATTAACAAGTGACAGAACTAGTCTATTGGGCTCAGCGAGATCCCGTAACTTCAACCCCCTCTTAAGCTACTGGCAGCAAATCAATGCAATTAAGCCACTTGAACCAGCAATAATCAAACGTACCTATGGCAGAGACGGCAGCTAGAGCCTAACTCTTTCTCCTACCGAAACTCTGTTCTTAACTACTTCCTTCAAAATAGAAAATTTGCATTCGTTCACGCAGGCTACAACATTTAACTATTCTGCCACTGGCAATTAGGGGAATGAAGGCTTATAGGAAAGTTTCAAATAAAACTTTAAATATTAGTTAAAATAAATATAAATCCCTACAAGGTTATAAATGAATTTTTTTGAAAAAATTATAAAAATTATTCAAAAATACAAGTTTAAAAAAAATCAGGAAATAGCTGCTAATTTTATTTGAATTGAACCTAAATTTTGAATTGTGAAAGAAGGAATCAAGCAAGTTTAATAAAAAAAAAAAGATATTAATAAATATATAACAAATTCAATTAACACTGTGGAGCTAAAATAAAATTTTGAGAACTAATTTTTTAAAAAGTATTCATGGGATTTTTACAAAACTTGGCACGATGTCATAATTTGAGTCAAAGAACTGAAATATGGGAAAAAAATAAGTAGGTCATT